TACTACCTACGAGCAGTTCAAATGGCATGGCAGTTGTTGTTTCCTTACCTTTTTAAAAAAGTAAAAAATAAAAAATGATCGACGTTAGTTTTTTTCTCAAAGATGAGCTTTTTAGAATTATATTTGAAATCTAATTTGAAACATTGATTGGTTATCTAATTAGAAATAGGAAAAGCAAATCTGACAAGATTGTTGCCTGTTAACAATAGCACCGTATTTGCAGCCAATAAAATAAAGTTAATAGCACCATATTTGCTAATAATGGGCATTTAGTACAACAATATTTTTATGTAGCTTTTTAACTTTGTGATTGTGATATTTTCTTTTTTCTTGAACTGCAGTATCATTCAAAGTGTTGAAGTTTGTAATGTGGATTGTGAATGTATATTTGATCCAATGCCACCAAATTTTTTTGTTTTTGTTTGTGTTTTTTGCTAGAGGCATTCTTGAACTCTTGAGGATAAGATGTGATCATTATGGTTACCACTGCTGGCAAAGGATGTAATATTAGGATTGTCTTTCTTGGAGAAAGATGTTATTTTTGTAGTTTTTTGACAGAAAAAAAGATCCTTAGAATACATGAGGTATGTATATAATAAATATAAAATATCTATGTAGACTATTTTATTTCTAGGCTTATTTGACAATTGGTTAGTTGAGTTATTACAATAAGCATGTTTATATAAATGGTGGTGGTCTCAATCATAGTTACCAAGAAACTGAGTTGGGGATGGAAAAGGCTTTTTTAGAACCACATTTCTGAGTTATGATCTCCAAAAGTATGGCCCTTTTGGTGCTGCGTGTTTTGACTTCTTTGACTAGGGTCAAACTTGGAAAAAACTCCGCTTTTGGGGAGTGGGGGGCAGTTTTCTCAAACATTGTAAAATCAAATTTTAGGATTGATTTATGCAAAATCTAGCAAGTACGGGTCAAATTCCACGAGCTGTGGGTCTCAAAACCAAGCCACAAGAAATAACAAAGTAAGGCTAAAATAAAATCTCAAAATCTTAAGTTTCAGTTCTTCAAAGACATCCTTAAAAAGAGTAATTACAACCCTATATATAAGTAGCCAAGGAATTTACTTCCTTATGAAGTACTTTGGAATAGAAAAACTACAAAATAACAAGAAGTTGACTAGTGGTAGACATACAATGCAACCACTCCATAACAAGCTAGTGACACATGATGTTCATGCAAACATTCAATGGCAAGTGACATGGTTTTGCATGTAGCCACCTATTAACATGTGTCCTACATGCAACCATCGCACTAAGAAATAGGTGACGTGCTGCTTACAAACAACCACCTCAATAACAAGCTGTATACAAGAACATAATACACCTTCTCATTAGTTTTAAATTTGTGATACTTTTGTTGATTTCTTCTCTCAAGTTATTGTCACTACAAAAAATTAAGGTTTTAGAAACCAAAATTTAGGGACAAAATTATTTTTTAGAGACCAAATATTGTTGTTGGAAAAGTGTCGTCATTATAATTTTAGCAACAAAAATTGGACATTAGTGATGAATTATTATCCTTTTGGGATCAAATTTTTTGTCTCAAAAAATAAATCATTGTGAGACCAAATTATTTTGTCCCTAAAAGTCTATTTATTAGTGACATTTTCAAAATTTTGTCGCTAAATGCCTTATTTTTTACTTTTCGGGACGACCTTTTAGCAACTATCCTCATGAAGATGGAAATTGGTCTTTAAATGTCTTTTACAACAAAATTTTCACTTTTAGAGACCAAAACATTTGGTCTCTAAAACTTTTATATGTTGTAGTGTGTCTACCATCTTTTGATTTTGCCATAGCTGATTCCACTTGTTCAAATGTTTGTTTTGGGTTCTTATGTTTGAATTCTGAATTTTTTTAAGACCTATAGGGAATTGAATATTTGAGGGCTTGCATCTTTTTTCTTTTGTTCTAAACTTGGCAAGTTGGTAAATACATAGTACTTTTAGATTAAAAAATGTCTTCTCCAAGCAAGAGCTGCGTCATCACTACCTAAGGTACTAAATTTGTATCTTTTAATTTTTAATTTTTGCAAGGTGGGTTTTTATTTTTTTTTTATTCTCTCTTATGTTCTTGGGTTTGATGATGGCAAATACCTGTTAGTTTATGTGATGCTGCATAGTTTCATGTTGGATATCCTATGAATGGTGTTGCTTAGTCACATAAAATTGTGTATGTGGAATCATAGAGTATGATTACTGTTGCTTTGTTGCATAAATATTAGTTTGACATGACTTGGCTGTATTGATTGCCATATTCTCATGAGATCCGTGGTTGGTCCTTGGAAATTTACTTGTTCATGACTTATGCAATATATGATTTGGAATAATTGCAATTCTTGATCTGGTCTTGATAGATAGCATTACCATTGCTTGATTTTGTTGGTAGTACGAGCTCGTTTGGTAAAGAATACCATTGTGGAATTGTGCACTCCCAAGGGCAGCCCTACGATTTCCATTAGGCGTGTTTTTTTCACTTGGTTTGTTAAGATATTGTTGAGTAGCTTTTGAATTACTGTCTCATTTTCTCCATTGCTTCTACGGGACCTTTCAAGCTTAATGGTGTTCCTCTTAGACATGTAAATCAATCTTATTTGATTGATACTTCGACCAAGGTGGACATCTCTAGCGTCAATGTTGAAAAGTTTTTTTTTTTTTTTGGAACTGGACAATGTTGAAAAGTTTGATGACAAGTATTTTGCAAAGCAAGTCGAGAAGAAGAAAAAGAAGGGAGAAGGCGAGTTCTTTGAGGCAAAGAAAGACATTTGCTTATAATCCTTTACCAAAATTGTGAAAAAGGCATTAAATTTTTGTTGTTTTTTTGGACTTATTTAGTTTAAATATTTTTTTGCACTTATTTGGCTTAGATTTGTTTGTTATTACATCAAGCTGTCTTCTTTAGTTAAATTCTTTGGCTTGTACTATATTTTAGAATCTTGGCAAACGGGGCCTCATAATTGTGTTGAATCTTTCAGTGCATATCTTCTGAAATGCTACGCTTTGGACAAAATATTGATTGTAATTTTTCTCATATTTCAGAATCAAGGAGAAAAAAAAAAGTGGCGTTTTTTCAAAAAACGTCATTTAGAACGCCACTAAATGACGTCATGCGTTAGTTTGTGATGGAAATGGAAGTGGATGTAAAAGATTTTGTGGCATTTTAAAAAACACCGTCTAATAATTTTAATGACGGTTTTCAAACGTTGTAAAGCTATTGCGGCGGTCATATCAACGACAAAAATTTTAAACATTGTTGTAATATTTTACAGCGTTTTTCAGGCTTTTAGCGACATTTTAAAAAGCACCACTAAAACTCAAATTTCTTGTAGTGTTTCTAATGATAACACAAAACAAAAGGGAAGGGTTATGCTATAATACACATCTTTATTTTCATGTTATGACATATACATTTCAAATAGTGTATATCATATACACTTTTGATATGTATTTTATGATACATATTAGATATTCTGATAAATAACTAGAAATTGAGGAACATGGCAGTATTTCCTTCCAGTGGCATATGTGATGTAATATGTCCATTGACAAAAGAATCAAAATGGATATTTTTTTAATTCAGTGAATAGAACCTCAATCTAGTTATGCATCTATCGCTGCTTGTGCATGCATGCACTGCACAAATGGGAAAATGCATACTTGATTTTTTTTTTTTTTTACACACAAACATCCTTGTTTTCGTTCTTTGGTTCTTGTGACTTGATAATTCTGTCAAGTCCTGTTGAAAATATATCGCAAACCAAATCTAGACTCATGAATGTGGCAGCAATTGTTGAATTAACGGCCAAATTAATGATGTAAATTAAATTCCAATATGATTTGTTTCTTCTTCAATTGAATTCGGCTCAACTAAAGCTAGCCCATAGCCAGTTCCTTTACAGTCCTACCTTGTGTGATCAAACAGTAATAATTTTTTCCTAGAAGATTTGATATTAGGAGCTAGTTAATTGTCATTACTCATATTATGAAATTTGTACCTCAAATGTTACACTGATGTGATGGTCTATAGAATATATTCATCTGATTTAATAGCATTAGTTTTATAAAGAAAGTTATTTCAATTTTACTCAATGCTAAAAGGCAACTTTTGCCAATTTTTTTAAAGAGTGACTAACTTGTCCCTCTCATAGGATGAATTTAATTTCCTTATGATCTTGTCTAATGTGTTTTTTGGGCCACAAATTAATTTTCAATGATGGAAAGGTGAGCATGATGAGCCTTCTGATTTATCAACAAAAATAAATAAATAAAATAAATAAAATTTTATGGGCCTTCTTTGATGGGGAATTAAACCTCCAATTTAAATATGGTTTTTATTTTTAATATTAAATTAGAGATGGTCTCCTTTGTTGCATATTTTTACTAAATTTCAAGTGTCTTAAACCGTGCAGAGCAACTGAGGACCATGGGAAGCTAGCGACAATATACAAGTCGAAGAAGAGGAATGCGATGGTGGAAGAGGGATACTAGATTTTGGGCAACTCTAGAGACCAATGGAGCGATCTTTTGGGTTCATCAGTTTCCATCCGCTCATTCAAGCTCCCAAATCCCATGTATTATATTCCCTAATTAGACAGGTTCCTATTAAGCTTTTCTAATCCCTTCTAGTCAAACAAATATTTGTACATTCAATTCATTGACTGAAGTTTGCAATTAATATATAAATTGTGCATAACTATACTTGATTTAAGTTTTTAATTAATATATAAATTGTGCATAACTATACTTGATTTAAGTTTTCAATTAATATATAAATTGTGCATAACTATACTTGATTTAAGTTTTCAATTAATATATAAATTGTGCATAACTATACTTGATTTAAGTTTTCAATTAATATATAAATTGTGCATAACTATACTTGATTTAAGTTTTCAATTAATATATAAATTGTGCATAACTATACTTGATTTAAGTTTTCAATTAATATATAAATTGTGCATAACTATACTTGATTCAAGTCATTAAATCATATTCTTTATTGATGTTTGAACGCATGTCCTGCAATGTGCTTACCAGGAAATTGAAGAGGTGGATACGGATGAACATTATCGACCTAAATCTCCAATAGGAATCATCAATGTGACTCTGAAAGAGAAGGTTTGAAGGAGGTTTTATCAGTTTAAAGCTTCTTTCAATGGCATGGTTTCCCCATCTTAGATGCCAACGTGCTGATAATCACCAAGCAAGCAAGAGGTTTATGGAAAGTATAAATTTTTAGTCCAGGTATAAATTTCATTTTCTGCTTGTATGTAAAAGACTTGAATTTATTTTTGTCAAACTTTTTCACCAATGTGTGTTATTATAGGGTCGCAAGATGGGTCAATGTGAACCTCATAAGTTGAATTTCGGTTGTACGAATGGGATGGAAGACAATACGTACGAGCGGGTATGTGTTTCATGGTCCAGTACAATTTTTTGTATGGTGTTCATTACATTATGTTTGAACTTATTAATGATATTTTGTTATTATGGTATTTTTAGGTGCCGCAAGGTCAATCCTATTATTTTCCGTGTATGGATGGGACACAAGAGAGCGCATTGCAAATGGTGGACAAAATTGGAAGCTCATCTTTCAATGAATCAGGAATGGCGAATAGGTTTTGAACAGATTCAGAATAGGTTATATTTGATTCTGAATAGGTTTTGAACAGATTCGAAACAGATTATATTTGGTTTTGAACAGGTTTTGAACAGGTTTTGAAGAGGTTAATTTTAGATTTTGAACAGATTCTGAACAGGTTAATTTCAGATTTTGTATTTCAGATTCTGAACATGTTAATCTAGTTTTGAACAGGTTCTGAACAGGTTAATGTGGTTTTGAACAGGTTTTGAACAGGTTCTGAAGAGGTTAATTTCAGATTTTGAACAGATTCTGAACAGGTTAATTTCAGATTTTGTATTTCAGATTATGAACATGTTAATCTGGTTTTGAACAGGTTTTGAATAGGTTCTGAACAGGTTAATGTGGTCTTGAACAGGTTTTGAACAGGTTCTGAAGAGGTTAATTTCAGATTTTGAACAGATTTTGAATTTTAGATTGTAAACAAGTTAATCTGATTTTCAGATTCAGATTCTGAAGAGGTTAATCTGAATTTTAGATTCAGTCAATTTGTGTAGAATGATAGGTTCAGAAGCAGAATCACAGGTTGATTGTTTGAAGCAGAATGACAAGTTCAGCAGAATGAAGTTCAGAATGATGCAGTCCAGAATAAAGCACTCCAGAATTGAAGCTCAGAATGATGCAGTCCAGAATTTAAGAATGATGCAGTCCAGAACCAGAATTTAAGAATGATGCAGTCCAGAATTACATGAATTTCAGAATGATGCAGTCCAGAATGAAGCAGCATGGCTATGCACTATTGAAGTAGCATTGAGCAGTCCAAAATGAAGCATTTGGCAATAATATGTAATCTGTTGCTGGATATATGTAATCTTTTGCTGGATAATATGTAATTTTTTGGAGTTGTTATAGATTATGAATGTCTAAGTAGCATGGTAAGAGATTACATATTATTAGTAACATTTGGTTGTAAGTAGCATAGATTATGAATGTCTAAGTAGCATGGTAAGAGTTAAATTGAGGACAATATGATGATTGTTGAACAGAGGTTATAGAAATAAATTTAATGGAATTGAGTTTTGCAGTGTTGTCCATCGAAGCTGAAGCTTAAGAAATAAATTTTATTTTGGGTTTCAAGTACCTATATCCTTCTGTTTTCTGTTTAAATGTTTTAATGATTTCATGAATGAAGATGATGGTGAGTTGAATTTAACAATTGTTAGCAGTTATTTATTAGATCAATTAATAATATGGACATTCTTGGGGAAAAAATGACAGTTTGGGTACTAACATGGTGATTCTCGTGCCTTTTTTCTAATAAATTCTTTTACAGGATATGACAAACATAACACTCATGAACCTCCCCACCTTTCCACTTTACTGCCAAACCTTGTCACCACACCACTTTTCCTTAAAAAAGTAATGTTAGAAAGCAGCCAACAAGCTCTAACATTAACACCTGAAACAAAACCTTAAAAGAAGCCAAGTGAAGGAACTATCAGTTGTGCTATGTTATCTATGCACAAATACGTAGATTTCTTTAATGCCATGTTTGATTTACTAAAGTAAAAGTTTCTTTAGTCTCCTTATAGGATGACCATTCAATTACAATGGTGAATAATTATTTCATAATTCAACATGTCCATTATAGAAATTCAAGAAACTCAACATGTCTGGTATAAAGTCAACAAGTCCAACAAGTCCATTCAATCCATAATAATACATGTCTGGTATAAATTCAACATGTCTGACATCACAATCCATAATCCATTCAATTCAACATGTCCATTCATAATCATCATGTTCATCATAATCCATAAATTCAACATGTCCATTCAATCCATAATCCATAATCCAACAAGTCCATTCAAGTCCATTCAGTCCATTCAATCAACATGTCTGGTATAAATTCAACATGTCTGACATCATAATTCAACAAGTCCATTCAATCCATATAAGAAATTCATAATTCAATCCATATATGTCTGACATCATAATTCAACAACAAATTCAACAATAATTTCAACCTATCAACAGTAATTGAAAATAGAAGTCCATTGAAGTTATAAAGTTCATTCAATCCATAAGGACATACATCAAGTCCATTCAATCCATAAGTACATCCATCAAATTCCCCAAAAGCTATGAACTCAGTAGTTTACATTATAAAATATAAAACAATACAAAATACAATGACATAAAGCACGACATTCAATTTCTTCTCCATCTTTCGAAGCCTTCTACCATGCTCCTGAAATTCATTATCCATCTCATAAACCCTTGTGCTTGGATCGTTAAATTCTTCGCTTCTTATATATGTACGAGGTGCAACATTGGAGATCACGTCGTAGTCATCATCATCTACGAACTTGAAGTAATTGCAGTGTTCCTCACTAATCTACAATGCATGACAATCAGTTAATCAGATCAGGCTAATAAATTTACAAACAAATTTCCATAGTACTTACATATTTTGATGGACACACAAAGTACACACGCCCTTTATTTCCATTCTGATTGGTTCGCACAATGTGTATGGCAACTATTCTCCCACAATCACAAAATCTTGGTATCAATCTTAAGTAGCTATTGTTACTAGAGGAAGAAGCCATTTTGTAATCTGCATACAAAATAGAAGATAAATATATATATATACATACATTAGTAAACATAGCTACTATGAATTAATAACTTAGAGATGAGCTTTTAGATGAATATCTGGGCTGAGAATGAGATTAGGGTTCAAGGGCCAAAACATTTGCTACAATACAAGATAAATATATATATATATATATATATATACATACATTAGTAAACATATACTATGAATTAATAACTTAGAGATAAGCTTTTAGATGAATATCTGGGCTGAGAATGAGATTAGGGTTCAAGGGCCAAAACATTTGCTACAATACAAGATAAATATATATATATATATATACATACATTAGTAAACATAGCTACTATGAATTAATAACTTAGAGATAAGCTTTTAGATGAATATCTGGGCTGAGAATGAGATTAGGGTTCAAGGGCCAAAACATTTGCTACAATACAAGATAAATATATATATATATATATACATACATTAGTAAACATAGCTACTATGAATTAATAACTTAGAGATAAGCTTTTAGATGAATATCTGGGCTGAGAATGAGATTAGGGTTCAACCATTAATGACATAGTTATTGAAAATCAAAATAAATAGAGAATGATTCTGTAATCAACAATCAAAATATTGGTTGATCAATAGAAACACAATAAAATAGAAACAAAGAAAAGGAAAAAGAAAATAAATAAAAATATATGGAGACTCATTAAGGCAATTCATTTGGGTTCTTTGGTATTTTTCTTAATTGACTTGGGTTATTTTTAGGTATTTGGATTGCTCTAAAACACACCCGCAAGTATAACTTTATACACTGTCCAACTTATAGCAAATAATTAATCAAACTTATAACTTTATAACTTTTTAATTAATCAAACTTCACAGAATTTTTTTGACTTATCCTCCTTGTATAAGTTAAGATCTATTCTTATAAATAAGTGATTTATACCCATCGAATTCTGACTCACACAACTCTAAACCTGGTGTTCATGTGCTTCAAATATATTCAAACTTGGCCACTGTTGGCAAGTGGGAGGAAGTGGTACCCATGTCAATTTAAATCAATCCACAAGACAAATTGATCATGGCTGTTCTCTGATGAGTGAGGAGGCAGATAGCTTTAAATTTCCACTAGCCACAGTGCCTCATTCAGGTGGAATTTCTGGTAAGCTTTTTGAGGATTATTTGGGCTTTTAGAACATGATGAACATTCTTTGTGCATGATTCATATTGGATAAAATGTTTCTTTGACACTGTTTTGCTTTGCGGGAACATTGTTTGTTGGAATGTCAAGCCTAAGAATGTGGGTTCAAGTCTAAGGACCCCCACTTTGTGCAAGTAATGCCAGAAGTTAAAAGTCTGTACCTTGTACCCAATTCATCCTTCCTAGCCACCAACACTGACTAATGGATTTTTAATGTCTTTTGATTTTCTTGTGCAGAATTTAGTTAAGGTTGACATGTTAATCTGAAAGCAAAAATCTGAATCATACATGGACGGAAAATTATGTTTGTCGATTCAAATCTTTAATACTGTGTTATGGGTAGAAATCTTTATGTCTCTTTGGTATGTATTGATTGCTCTCCTCTGAAAACTTGACCCTCGGCAATGTATGGACAACCTCAATGGGAAAGTTAACTGGAGTGATGAAATTTGTTTTCATGGAGAATGTAAGTAGAAGATAATTCATATATCATATAAGACTTTCCTCACCACCAGTACAAGTGAAGGAAAAAAGATGTGATGCTTTATTACCACAGCTTCTTTGGTTGCATTCTCAAATGAGAAAATTGTCCCTTCTTTATTAGAAGGCTGTATATGCTACCAAGAAGGCTGTGAGAATAGTATTTTCCAGAAATAATTGTTTACTATCAGCAAAATCTATGTTGAATACCAATAAGATTGATCCACAAATGCAAAACAGCATTGACTTTTTCTTTATCTTTGGTAATAAACAATTATTACAAGGTCTCCTAATATTCATGTGACTTAATCAAGGGGTAACATGTCAGCCACCAACTTTGGGAATCTAGGACTGACATGCTGCATGTCACAGAAAGTTTAGGTTATCACATATTATACTAGGATATCTGTGCTTGTCAGAAGAACATCAATTAATGGATTTTTTTGAAAAATTACTAGGCACTTGATTTTTGATACTATTTAGGTTATCTTCATGATAAATCATGCAAATTTGTGCAAATATTCATATATTTATCATGTCATCATAAACAGAATTATATAAAATTTTGAAAAATTACTAGGCACTTGATTTTTGATACTACAATTCCCCCTATGATTCTACCACAGAAAAACATGGACTTTACACTCAAATTGGTACACCCAGTTTAGTACTTAAATAAGTTACACTCAAATGGACTTGTAATAAAGCTGAAAAATAGCAATAATATGGACTACTACTCAAAATCGGGCAATTGTTTGGGATTAAATGTAGTTATGGTAGTTTATTAGCTTGAAACAGGAAAACACTATCAATTCAAAAAAAAAATTCTTCATGATAATTCCAGGTTAGCTATCATACTGTTCAGATGGTTGTCATGTTTTCCAATCAAAATAAAATCACCATTGAAATAGCATGCAACAGTAACAGATCAGAAGCAAATTTTCATAAATGCCATCTAACATTAAGAAAAACTTCTTTTTAATCACACATCATACCTTCAGTTTCACCTATTTGCTCACCAGTTTTATCCTTGATCTGCACGGATTAAAATCAGTATCATTAGAAGAATTTTTGTTTGGAAGTAAAGAGTTAAATATATTTATTTTTTTTTTTGATAAATAATCAAACTTTATTAAAAAAGCATCAAGGCAATACAAAGAGTTAAATATAATTTGAGAAAGCTAGAAAAACAAAATTATTCGAGACCTCCATCCAACAGGGACTAAACTGGGTGTACCATTTTTTTAAAACAGAAAAAACAAATGGATCAAAAGGCTTATTTAACTAGTTAAACAAATGGACTTTAAACTCAAATGGATCAAATAAACAGATTTCAAATAAAAAATAAGGCAATTCATATCAGTTACATGAGTATAAAATTCAATTACCCACACATCAGATCTCACACACAAGCCAAATTTCAAGTATATATATATATATATGGAATCAACACAACTAACAAACATAAAAAAACCTAAACCTATTCAAATTATATTTTCCTAATTTTATAAACCAACCCAGTGAGTTCACAAAGGTGAAAGGGGCAGTTTCGAAGAAGGGGATTTCGGTCTAGGGTTTCATAGAATGGAGATAGAGAAAGAGAGAGAAACCAAAAACATTAAATAACACAAACAATCAACCACAGCTCATAAATTACACCTGGAAAAACAAAATCAAGTCTTTCTTCAAAGGAAATGGGACTGAATGAAGATGGGTTTTCGATTTTTTTTACTTAATCATACAAAAAATTCCATATCCTCTACTTGAAAACCCTAAATTTGAAAATTTCCTCTTAGCACAGACAAATCGAAGATAATACAGTAAAAGTAAGGGCTTTGGGCAATTATGAACTACATACAAACCAATTTGTAATCGAGCTCAAATACATCTAGGGTTTCGTCGTCGCTGCAGAGGGTTGGGCGTTGTCCAATAGGTTGTTTAATTTGGAGATGATGATGGAGACGAAGGTGGTGGAGATGAAGGCAGGAAGTGTATGATCCCTTGACAGAGAGTGACACCTAGAGGGTTAAAATCATTCAACATAGGAGAAAATAGCTTTATGGTTGAAGATACTAGGAATAACTAGTTTGCAAAAACCATCACTTTTTACTAGACTGAAACGGACGGGGATTCTATGAGCACAAGCATTGACAAAGGAATATTTCTACTGACTTGTGCATTAGAGACCAAAGAAAGGTTTGCCTAATGAATAGTACATATAAAGAGAAACATTACTGTGGATTACTAAAATAGTTATGTGAATTGTTGTCAATTGAAAAAAGAAGGGCGTCAATAATTTCAAATAATTCAAAACCTACAAATTAACAAAACTCATCACAGAATTACCTACAATGTTGCTTAAATTTTCTTACATGTGGGAGATGCAAGATAATGCATTAAAATACAGGACATCTAACAAAAGAAAGGGAATTTCTATTACTTAGCAAATGAGCAATTCTGGCATGAATTTAGACCATGTCTAGCAGGGACATCATTATCATTTATCATTCATTACAAGAACCAAGGATGTGAAATGCAAAACAAGGGCATCATTGTCATTTATCAGTCATTGTCCTTACAATAACTTTGTGATTGGAGAAAGGGGGGGAAGATTAATATGATTTTATAATTATCCAATCCTGCTGCTCCTTAAAAAATAAAATAATAAAATAATAAAATAAATAAAAAAAACGCGAACAAAACAATAAAGAAAAAACTAGCCATTGTGGCATTTTATCAAACACCTAGCAGACCCATAATCAGAAGCATGAGACTTTACTCTGTGTGTGTGTAGAATCACCAACAATTCATTCACTTCAATGGTTATATTGGGTAGAATATGAATATCATAATCAAAATAGATAACATGTTAATCATTCTGTTTTCTATATTTTTTTTTTCCCAAATTAAAATCATTCAAGTTGTTCATGGAACCCTTTAAAGTAGAGAAGTTTTGGAGATGTTAGAACTAACGAATGGAATGACTTTAATCTCATCTTAACAATGAATTCCATTTACAGGAACATGTCCGAAAACAGAGTAAGGGTAGAGAATGAGAAACCCAGAGACCAAAAGAGAGAGAGAGGGGAAGAGAAAGAGAAACAGAGACAACAAACTGACCTAGAACTCACGGTGGTGCTGTAGCTTGATGTCGGTGCAGGATGAACTCACGGTGTGGAGGATGAACCGTCCTCACGGTGGAGGATGAGCTCACGTTGTTCTCTGCTACAGCTTGTTGAAAGAACTATGGATAGATTATTAGGGCACAAAGTTCTAACCAAGGAGTTGAAAACAATTTAGGCGCTAAATCAGAATTTTTTTAGTGCTTTAATTTTGGGTTTATGTAAAGACATGGAAAAATATGAAAAAAATAATAATAATTCATAATTCATAAATTGGACGGGTAATGTGAAAGTATTCCTGCTAAAAAATAAATTTGTGTGTTTTATGAAATTTTTTAATCGTTAAAATTATAATTTGTTGTAGTGAGAGAGAGAGAGAGAGAGAGAGATGAGAGGAAACTGATAAACACAAAAAAAAAAAAAAAAAAAAATTAGTACAGTATTTTTTTTTTTTCATTACTGCCCAATTTGTCAAAATTTTCCATCCAAAATTAGTGACAAAATAAGTTCCTCAGTAAAAGGTCTCAAAATATTAAAAATTACAACAATGATTCATCCCTCCTTTTCCCCCCACCCCCTTTGACCCCCTCTCTCTCTCATTGGCTACATTTTCTTTTTCTTTTTCTTTTTTTTCCTGCTCCTCCAATCACCACCCGCCACGTGGCAAGGGGGGGTGAGGGGGTGACCCCCAAAAGGGGGTCCCAAGCATTATTCAAATAAAAAATAATGTCTTTATGAATGAAACCAGAAAAGTCATAAAGAAATAAAAGGAAAGAGGAAGAGAATACAGAAAAAAGAAAAGGTAAATTATGGGTTAGTCCTATATAAGTCTTGTATTGTTTTTAATATACCAATAAAACTTAAAATATTTATTTTTTCCCCAACACTTTTGACAATATTGATAGTGAGAGGGTAATTTTTGTGAAAATTGGGCCGAACTGGGAGATGGTCATTATGGCCCACAATACAAAGGGCTGAGTAAAAAGGCCGTAAAGTTACTCCGGCCCAAGAGAGGTACAAAATTATTCCGGCCCGAAAGAAATGTAAAGTTACTCCGGTCCAAAAGCGACTTGGAGTTAGCCCGGTCATGGCATATTGTGGTTAGATCGGTCAGAACCTTGCTACTCGGTATCTCGGTCTAAATACACCATGGTTTGTACATAAGAGCACCGAGATAAGGAGGAGTAAAAGGAAGAACCGAACTAAGTATAGTTCGGCCTACTCTGCTGCTCAGCATAGCCATGATTACTTCGGTCATGTTGTAGTTCGGCCATAGTAGAAACCATCTCACTTAGTTTAAGCAGTGAGGGGGGTGTTAAAAGATAAGCATTATCTTTCAGGAGTATGAATCCTAGGAGGACTCTGCATGGAGTAGTAGAAGTCCTACTAGGATTGTGCCATACGAGAGAAGAGAGATGAACGAGAGAGACAGAGAGAAAGATAGAGAGAAGAGAGATGAGCGAGAGAGATAAAGAGAAGAGAGATGAGCGAAAGAGACAGAGAGAGAAAAGAGATGAGAGAAGAAATAGATGAGTGAGAGACACAGAGAGAGACAGATAGACAGACAGACGGAGAAGAGTGATGAGTGAGAGAGAGAAAGAGAAGAGAGAAAGGAAATAAGATAAAAAAAAATGGATGAAAAGATATAGACAAAGAGAGAGAGAGAGAGAAAGAACGAAAAGAGATAAACGAGGGAGAGAGACAGAGAGAGATGAGTGAGAGAGCGAGAGAGATAAAAAGAAGAGAGATAGAGAGAGAAGAGAGATGAGAGACATAAAGAGAAGAAAGATGGACGAGAGACACAGAGAGAAAGAGAGACAGACAGACAGACAGAGAAAAGTGATGAATGATGAGTGAGAGAGAGAAAGAGAAGAGAGATAGAGACATAGAGAGAAAGAAAGAGACAGACAGACAAAGAAGAGTGATGAGTGAGAGAAAGAGAGATAAGAGAGACAGAGACACATAGAGAAAGAGAGAGACAGATAGACAGACAGAAAAGAGTTATGAGTAAGAGAGAGAAAGAAAAGAGAGACAGAGACAGAGAGATAGAAAGATGAAAAAATGGGCGAAAGGAGAAATGTTCAAAAGAGTAAGACGACGTCGTTTTTATTTTATTTTTATTTTTATTTTTTTTTTTGTAACAGAAAAATACCGTTGCATTTATTTAAACCATTTTATGACTATATATATATGAAGTCGTTTCAAAGCCACAATATATATATATATATAAATCTTAAACTTTTTTTTTTTGCAACGGTACGTATTACGATCAAAAATTTTTTTTTTTTTTTTTTCGACTGCAGCCGGTACCGTTGCAAATACTCTTTTTTTTTTTTGCGACAGCAATTTCTTGCCGTCACAAATACTCTATTTTTTGCGACGGCAAGTTGTGCCGTCTCAAAAAGTCACATTTTTTTGAGATGGTAAGTTCTGACATCTCCAAAAGTCACATTTTTTGCAACGACAAGTTGTGCCATCTCAAAAAGTCACATTTTTTAGCGACGGTAAGTTGTGCCGTCTCAAAAAGTCACATTTTTTGAGATGGCAAGTTGTGCCGTCTCTAAAAGTCATATTTTTTGCGACAGCAAGTTGTGCCGTCGCAAAAAGACATTTTTTGCGACGGCAAATGTGACATCACAAAAAGTTTCGCCTCATAGGCCCACTTTTCTTGTAATGTGGTGTGGTTATGAGTAAAGTGGTGTGGTTATGAGCCAAAGAATGTTGGTTATGAGATATGTGATTAGTGGTTATAAGTAAAGTGGTATGGTTTTGAGCCAAAAAGTATTGATTATGAGATATATGACTAATGGTTATCAGATATGTGATGTTAATTATGATCAAAGTGGTGTGACTATGAGCCAAAGGGTGTTATGAGATATGTGATTAGTGGTTATGATATATGTAATGTTAGTTATGAGCCAAAGAGTGTTGGTTATGAGATATGTGGGTAATGGTTATGAGATATATGATTGTTGTTTATGAGATATGTGATTTTGGTTATGAGCAAAGTGATATAGTTATGAGTCAAAAGAGTGTTTGGTTATGAGATATGTGATTATTAGTTATAAGATATGTGATATTGGTTACGATCAAAATGATGTGGTTATGAGCAAAAGGGTGTTGATTATGAGATATGTAATGTTGGTTATGAGTCAAAGGGGGATTGGTTATAAGATGTGGTTATGAGTTATATGGGTAGTAGTTATGAGATATGTGATTAATGTTATGAGATATGTGATATTGGTTATGATCAAAGTGGTGTGATTATGAGCTAAAGGATATTGGTTATGAGATGTAGTTATGAGATATGTGATTGTAGTCATGAAATATATGATATCGGTCATCAACAAAATGGTACTGGTTATGAGATGTGGTTATGAGATATGTGATGTTAATTATGATCAAAGTGGTGTGACTATGAGCCAAAGGGTGTTATGAGATATGTGTGAAAAATCTAGGAATCCCCTAGATGTTGATTTGTGATTATGTATCAATTTTAAGCAGAATATAACAATCCCAATCAAACAATCAAACAATCAAGACAAAGAGACACAACGATTTAACGTGGAAAAAACCACAATTGGACACCTCCAACTGTGATCAAAAAACCACGGGCAACAGCCACAAGAACAATCCACTAAGAAGATAAGATGTGGTTATGAGTTATATGGGTAGTAGTTATGAGATATGTGATTAATGTTATGAGATATGTGATATTGGTTATGATCAAAGTGATGTGGTTATGAGCAAAAGGGTGTTGATTATGAGATATGTAATGTTGGTTATGAGTCAAAGGGGGGATTGGTTATAAGATGTGGTTATGAGTTATATGGGTAGTAGTTATGAGATATGTGATTAATGTTATGAGATATGTGATATTGGTTATGATCAAAGTGGTGTGATTATGAGCTAAAGGATATTGGTTATGAGATGTAGTTATGAGATATGTGATTGTAGTTATGAAATATATGATATTGGTTATCAACAAAATGGTGCTGGTTATGAGATGTGGTTATGAGATATGTGATGAGAGCTCATAACTAAGTTATGATTAATTTGATTCTAGTTATGAACAAATATGATTTTGGCTCATAACTATAAAAAGTGACCTGCTTACCAGGTCACTTTTAATGATGTGGCTCAATCTGAACCATTGATTTTCTATGTACCATACATTTTTTAAACAAAATGTACTATAGACTTTCCCCAAGAACTTAAACAAGTTCAAACACAGTTGAGTGGGCAATGACTGAACTGCTACTGCATCCCAATATAATGTCGAAATTGCACGAAGAAATTACAAAAACAATAGGACCAGAAGGAACAATAGAAGAATCCAAGATCATTGCATTGCCCTATTTACATGCTGTTGTGAAAGAAACAATGAGGTTGCACTTAGCAGTGCCTCTTCTCATACCCCACAAGACCGAGATAGACGTGAAGCTGCGCGGTTTTCTCATTCCGAAAAACACCCAAATCTTTGTGAATGCATGGGCCATTGCTCGAAACCCTAGTTATTGGGAAAACCCAACTCAATTCATGCCCGAAAGGTTTTTGAGGTCCGAAATGGACTACAAATGCCAAAATTTCTCCTTTCTTCCTTTCGGTTCTAGGCGTCGAATGTGTCCCGGTATTCCTCTTGCTCAAAGGGTTGTGAGCTTGATGATTGCTTCACTCGTATATCATTTTGACTGGAAGCTTCCTGATGGCGTGACACCGGAAAATTTAGACATGACTGATACTTTTGGCATCACACTACAAAGGGCAACGCCGCTACGTGCTATTCCAGTGGCTAGAAGAGACTGAACTTGACGAAATAAATCTCAACCTTCACAACAATATGCTAAAGAAGTGATAATAATGAATAATGGTGTTACACACTAATTATTATGTTAATTAGGGTATCAACACATGATATAACAATGTAATTTTAAAATTATGGATCTCACTTATTATATAAATTATAAAAACTCAAAGTTAATAAAATTATGTCACATCATCCGTTAATTCATATATATTACCTTAATTGTCAAAAATGATCATTTCTTTTTATTTATATAGCTCTCTTTCTTCTCATTACACACACTTAAAATTTTTAATTTTCACTTTATCTCTCAATAATAGGAAATTGTTTTGTGTTTCTAGAGCGTTGTCCCAACATATCCAAAA